AACAATGAGAACCTCACATCCAATCAGACTCTAGACCTGCACAAGATCTCGTCATAGCAACTTGCAGCCACTTTCTACAGAAAGCAGCAGTGATCTCTATCGCTGTTGCCATACCAACAATAAGACAGGACTGTCCATTCAGCGTGATTCAAGCAGTTAGCAAAAACGCACCTGACACAATGAAACTGAAGCGTAGAAATTCCAATATAAAAGTCAAAGATTAAATTTTTAATTTTATAGGAAGTATTTTGACTCTCAGTCCTGTCTTTATACCACACCCTTGTTTTTATGTTTATACCTGTATTATATTATCCTGTTCCCATCTGCATTCATCTATTTTTTTTTGAAGTGCGTCTTCCTGCTGGGACAGTTGGAGTTGATGGACATCCCAGAGACTCATGGCCTCCTGAACACATCTGTACAAGCCTTGACAATGCTTCTCATGCCATTTAGCCATCTCCTTAAAATCACGCTAAAGAAAAACATTCAAGTGAACAAGTTCTTTTTAAACTGCTGGAAGGTGAAATGTATGAGTAAGAGGATATGTAACATGATAAAAGGCTGCCTGGAATTTTACGACTGGTATCCAACATGGCATCTTCTATCTGGGGAGTACAAAAACCAAAAAATCTCCAATTAAACTGGGTAAGAATGCGGATTTTTGTTCTACAAGCTGAGAGTATCAGAGCTTCTGTTTATTCTGGCATTATAAAGCACCAAATCACATTCTATAATTTATCCCTTTAGAAACAACTGCCAAGTCATTTTTATGCCTAGAAAAGTCTGGAAGATATTTGTGAGATCAGTTAAAGCTATTCGTCCGACTTTAGGCACACTGGGCCATACCTCATTCATCAGTATCATATGTATTTCAGATAGAAATGATCATAAAAATACAATCTATTTCTATTACAAATAATAAACACAAGAATTATGAACACTTCCACATGAAACTCTTCCACACCAAACTGTTTCTCTGGAGTGTTTTGTCACACTATGGACCTCTTTCTAAGGTGACATCAACAGCCTACCACGCAGAAGGCATTGCAGGTGGGAGCACAGGAAGAACAGACTAATCCCAAGGAGTGATGAAAATATAGATAATAAAATAAAATAAACGTACATCCATGTGTTCCACTTCTTCTTCAAACCTACATTTTAGTTTCTCAGTCATCTGAAGCATGTTGGAGTGCACAACTTCAGCATCTTCTGCTGTGCAAATGTTCATATCCAACAGGGTCATCTGAAGGAAAAGAAGAACAAATTATTGACATGCACAGAAGAAATACTGTGTGGCTTTCAGAGAGCCTGGCTAAACGTAGTGTTTCTTTTCTTGTGATGGACAGGGATAGATTCAGCCTCCTACATGCCATATTAGATTACTAAACAATACCATCTGGTTGGACACAAAGGGAGAAATTGAGGCAGAGGTGGAATTTCTTTCCCAAGATAAGACAGATTTAGCACAAGGGCTGAGGCTCCTTGCATCTTCCACATTCATGTAGGACAGCACTCCCTTCATTACTGGCATTTGTTACGGCTTTTCCACATTTCAAGTACAAATACCAACTACTACTGTGAAATCAAACGGATGGCTTACTTTTTGAACAGAGTAAGGCGGAGGTTAAAAAGGAATTCCACTTGTTATCTCACTGTCTGGTGCATCTTTACTCTCTCTAATGACACATTGGACCACGGCTATCACAGCCAAAAGCTGTGGCACTCAACTTGCACATCTGCCCTTTCTCCTGACATTTGCCCTCGACCAGCTCATACTGGATGCTCATTTTCTCCACGCACTCCACATTAGGGCTGTCTGAATGATACGGAACAGACCACAGTCAAAATTCCCATCTTTCA